CTAAATTGATTTTTTTACCAGTTTTCCCAGAATTGGAAAATCATTACAATTGGTTATGCTTTTGTAGTTTTACTCTTTAAACTTTCAAATGCATACTATTTTAAAAATGAATTTGTGTTTAGGAAATACCTGTTCATGGTAAAGGAGTGATGGTTGGAGAGGTTCTTCATGAAAAGTCGTGTCTTCCCACCCAGGGCGCCCGCCCCCTCCATGTTTCAGAGGGACTGCTGTTAGGAGCCTTGATAAACACCTACTCTGTGCACAGTGCACACGGTGTGGCTCTCCCTCCGCCTGTCCCTCCACGCCGCCCCTGGGCAGGAGCTGGCCCTTCTTGATGAATGCCTGGCAGTCCTCGCTGTCAGGGTTCCTGTATTGACTCAGTCAGTCCCCAAGCCCGTGGGCTGAGGTCATTCCACTCTTTGCTGCCATATGTGTGAGGATGACTTGCTATATGTGTATGTGCATTGTGATTCTGAGATAAGTCGCCCAATTGCCACTTCGTGTCGATTCACATCGGTTCCCCCAGCAGCGTGTGCGCACGCCTGCCTCCCTCACTTCACGGGGACTCACGTCGGTTCCCCCAGCAGCGTGTGCGCACGCCTGCCTCCCTCACTTCACGGGGACTCAGGTCGGTTCCCCCAGCAGTGTGTGCGCACGCCTGCCTCCCTCACTTCACGGGATTCACGTCGGTTCCCCCAGCCGTGTGTGCGCACGCCTGCCTCCCTCACTTCACGGGGATTCACGTCGGTTCCCCCAGCAGTGTGTGCGCACGCCTGCCTCCCTCACTTCACGGGCATTCACGTCGGTTCCCCCAGCAGCGTGTGCGCACGCCTGCCTCCCTCACTTCACGGGATTCACGTTGGTTCCCCCAGCAGCGTGTGCGCACGCCTGCCTCCCTCACTTCACGGGCATTCACGTCGGTTCCCCCAGCAGCGTGTGCGCACGCCTGCCTCCCTCACTTCACGGGGATTCACGTCGGTTCCCCCAGCAGTGTGTGTGCACGCCTGCCTCCCTCACTTCACGGGGATTCACGTCGGTTCCCCCAGCAGCGTGTGCGCACGCCTGCCTCCCTCACTTCACGGGCATTCACGTCGGTTCCCCCAGCAGCGTGTGCGCACGCCTGCCTCCCTCACTTCACGGGATTCACGTTGGTTCCCCCAGCAGCGTGTGCGCACGCCTGCTTCCCTCACTTCACGGGACTCACGTTGGTTCCCCCAGCAGCGTGTGCGCACGCCTGCTTCCCTCACTTCACGGGCATTCACGTCGGTTCCCCCAGCAGCGTGTGCGCACGCCTGCTTCCCTCACTTCACGGGACTCACGTCGGTTCCCCCAGCAGCGTGTGCGCACGCCTGCTTCCCTCACTTCACGGGACTCACGTCGGTTCCCCCAGCAGCGTGTGCGCACGCCTGCCTCCCTCACTTCACGGGCATTCACGTCGGTTCCCCCAGCCGTGTGTGCGCACGCCTGCCTCCCTCACTTCACGGGGACTCACGTCGGTTCCCCCAGCCGTGTGTGCGCACGCCTGCCTCCCTCACTTCTGCCAACGTGGGTATTGTTTGTTTTTTAAAGAAACCTTTTTTGTTGATGATGGTGTATCTCATTGTAGTTTTAATTTGTATTTCTCATTGTGAAAGAGGGTAGCCATCTTTCATGTTTTAAGAGCTATCTGTGCTTCCTTGTCTCTGTTCTCTGTTAAGTCATAGATTTGATACACTTTGAGGCCAGTTGTAAACATGAATTCTTCTTGCCTCTTACCCTCCTTATCTAGTCTGCCTTCGGATTCCTTCTGGCTTAAAAGCATACAGATCAGCCAGACCATTTCTTGTGGCCCTACACTTGATGATGTAAACTTTCACTAGGGACCTGAGACTTCAATTGTTTACAAGTAGCTTTGTGGTAAAAGAAGAGAATCAGAAAGAGGTGGTCGCGAGGGAGGCTGGAAGGTGACGCGGTGGAAGGAACAAGGAAGGGAGCGGAACGGAAGCCTGGACGTGCAGCTGCGTCCTGCACAGACTGAGAGGTCTGTTGCCAGGCTTTGCGATGGCAGTGGCTTCTCTAACAAGGACACTGAGACGGGGAGCGCCAGCTTCTCTCTGCCAGGACCTGGGAAGGTCGTCTCTGTCGGCCTGGCAGCGTGCTGGAGCCGCGGGTCTGATAGCGGGGGCAGCGCTGAGTGCCTGAGCACAGCACACGAGGTCTGACGGTGCTCGTCCTCAGCAAGTGAAGTCCGCGGCCGAATGCAGAGCTTTGCTTTGGCAGATTGATCACAACATCTTACGAAGAGGGGATTTTTGTGAAAACGTTTGTATTGAGATTGCTTTACATTCTTTGTCATAACAGAAAGTCTCTTGTTTGAGAACCGAATGAGAGCTTCAGGGCAGAGCCTGAGTTTTCTCCACACCTTTGAATTGCCTCATTCTCCCAGTGAGATCCTTCAGAATACAGGAAAGTATACGTGGTTTCAAGAGAGCATGTCCGTACCTAACAGGGAAGGTGATGCCCAGGTAATTCCCTGTGTCTTCTGCGTGGGCAGTGCACCCTCCCTCCCTTGTATGGGAAGGGGTGTCCTTTTGTACCTCCGTCTGAGCTACTAAACTACTGAACTTGACCCAGCAGCACAGAGGAAGAAAGCTGACGTCATAGCAGTGAGGGGACAGGACATGATTTGGCTGGACATTCCCGTCCTCCCCTCCTCCAAAGTCTACTTGAGGAGGGATGGTGAGGACTCTCAGGTCTCTGCATTACAGCAAGACCAGCTTGTGGCCTTTGTGCCACCTTTATAGCCGTGCCTACCCTGCTGAACAGAGCTGGTCGCCGTAGAAGAAGGGGGCGAGAAATTGAAGAAGGCTTTTTGTGTCAGAATGGGGTTGGGACTGAAGGGCAGAGAACAGGCAGGTTAGGAGCTCGGGACCTCAGTGTAGCCAACCTCGGCCCCTCCCCGCGGTGACAGCAGTAAGGCCTGTGCTCCCTTCAGAAGCCAGCAGCAGAGCTCGAGCTGCTCTCTGGCCGGGCTGGGGGAGGGGCCCCAAGAAGACAGCTGGGACGGCTGCCTGGGAGGAGGGGGCTCCTGCTGTGGGCACGCAACAGCGTAATGTCCACACAGGTCCGGAGACTCACAGGTCCGGAGACTCCTCCCTCCTGCCTTGTTATTGTTTAGGAAGAATTGTGACAATATCATGACAGGTTATTTAGGGGTGTCATTTTCATGTCTCCAAATAAATTAAACATTAGAACCTTAAGAACTTTGACCAGTAAGTCGTTTAGAGAAAATATACCCAGTGTTCAATGCACATCCTGTTAGAAAGTGAGTGCAGATTCCTTGGTGACTCAGAAGCTGTGCTAACTGAGGGATGCCACCTGCCGTGGCCGCACGTGGAGCCGGGCACGTGGCTTCTTGGATGCGGCTTCTTGAGGCTGAGGGGTTTAGAATGTTTACTCCCCATGCTGAGAGCAGGGAGAGTGGTCTAGTGAGCACCTCAGGGGCCGCCCTGGCTCTTTCCAGGCTGGTGCTTTTGGAGGAGAGGGGGAGGGAGAGAGGCTCGGACAATGGTGCTGCCTGTCCTGGTGGCTCACTCGTGTCAAAGGTCCTGTAGCTAGTGCTAGGGTGAAAGTGCACCCCTGGGGGTGGAACTCGGCAAAAGTGGGGGCCAGGCCTGAGCTGAGGAACTGTGGACTAGAGTGGGGCTCCCCAAGGAACCAAGGAGCAGGCTGAGGGCCATGGAGTGATCCTTGGGAAGGGAGAGAAGTGACGTGCACCTGCTCTTCATAGCAGGCGTGTGTGCAGTTGGCCCTCCATATCCTCGGGCGTCGCATCCTTGGATTTCACCTCTGTGGATTTAACCGAGTATTGAAAATATTCAGGGAGAAAATGATCCCAGCAAGTTCCAAAAAGCAAAACTTGAATTAGCCACTCGCCAAGCACTACCCTGATCTCATGCAAAAGAAGTGAGTGATGTGTGGGTACGCCCTACTGTAGCCTGGGTGCAAGTATAGGTTATATGCAGATGCTGGAGCCTTTCATATAAGGGGCTCAAGCATCTGTGGGAGTTCTGGAATTAAAGTCCCTCCATGTACCTAGGGACGCACTACTTTCATGCGGTGGTTGAGGACGCATGGAGCACGTGCTCGGCAGGCCGTCCTAGGGAGAGAGTGCATGCAGAGGAAGACCATGGTGCTGGAGGGTCCTGGAAAGGAGTGGGCCCCACAGAGGCGGGGTGGGAGGCTGCAGGGCCCTCTGGTGGTGGTTTTGTATCCTCAGCTCAGCGACCTCCCTGTTGCCCTCTCTGCCCTTCCACGTCTCTTACTGCGGTGGTGTTCCCTGGCCCTCCTAGATCCTCTCTCTAATTTGGGCTTGTTCACTACCTTTCAGACCCTCTGCTGTATCTCCTGGCCTCTTACTACATGTTCTTTCAGATGTAAATTTTCTCTATTATTTAGAGCTCTGGGGAGCATTATGTGCTCACCCCACTCCCCAGCACAGACTGAGCTATGGGTTGGGGGCCCTGCAGTCTCCTTGTGTACAGAGAACTCTGGCAGAGCAGCGGGGCTTTGCGGCCCAGCAGTGAGGTGGTGGGCGGGAGAGCACGCGTGCACCCTCCAGCCTTGGTGAGGGTTACCCCAGGAACCCCGGCAGGGAGGCAGATGCCGGCAGAACGCACCATGCAGTTCTGCTCGGACCATACGCCTTGTAGTACTTGTTTCTTGACCTGTGGATGAACTAATTGAATTCAGATGCTTAAGAAATAAATGAGCAGTGAATCTTGAGATCGGTGGTGCTGTCCCAGAGTCTCAAATACTTCTGTGCTACGCTTTTACCCACATGCAAGAAAAGAGTGCTGTTTGTTTGTTCTGTCTCAGCTTGTAGGGACTAGTCCATGCTACTCACCGAGCAGTGGGACATAGCAGACATCCTTACATCCTCTCCCCATTACCATTCGGAAGGAGATGCTGTTCACCGTCCTCTGACTCTCCTGAAAACTGACTGGAGGCGTGTCTTTCAGGCCGGGGGTCCTCCGCTGGTGCTGGCTCCAGTGTCTGCCTTCGCTCGCTCTTCTGTCACGCCTTCCAGCCAGGACATCTGCAGGTAACGCTCGCTTCGGATGCTGCTGTGGTTCACGTTCGCCCGGAAGTAGGTGTTAGTGTTCGCAGGCTCTCAGCTTTATATTTTCTTGGTCAAGATGCCTTTGCTCTAAACAGTTGGCCCAATTCTATGTGCTGTTTGCCCATCAAGTTACCACATGAGTGTCGTTTCTTCACTTTATGTCTGTTCTCCTTAAAAATTGTTTTTACCTTCTGTGTTTCTATCCCACTGTTCTCTGCATGCAGTTCCAGGGCAGTGTTTTCTGAGTGTTGTCACCACAGTCCCATGCAGTCTGCTGTTGTCTTGAAAGCTGCTCAGGGCCAGAGCTCTCTGACCCAGGGGCTTGCTGTGACAGTTATCTGTAAGGACACATTGCAGGCGCCAAGGAGGAGCCCCGCTGGTTCAGAGGGGGCCCAGGCCTTGAGGCCTGCTGAGAACAGCAAAGCCAGAAGAACACTGAAGTTCTCAAAATCCCTGAATGATGTGGGCGAGAAGGCCCAGCCCACTTGGGAAAATGTCGACTATGTGGAAAGAGCTTGCTCTGAGGGGAAGTTGATACACTCTCAAGACTGGTGTCTCAGGATTGACAGGTTCCGTCCAAGACAGAAAAGAGCTCTGAACTGCAAACCTCTGGGCCGTTCCAGACATTCTTGCGTCTCATCCCTGTTTGCCCATCATTCAACTGCCCCAGAAGTGGAAGGTGGCAGGGGGGGCATGCATGTCCCTCTCTTGGAAGAGAGCGCGGATGGTGAGGCCGCTTCCAGAAGCCGGCGACTGCTCAGGTGCCTGTTCTCCCTGTCGCATGGCTCGCGCGCCAGCAGCCTGCACAGGTTCCACGAGCTGGAGAGCGGCGCTGCGCACCTGCACAGCGCCACGTCCTCCCGCGGCCTGGCGGGGAGCACGGGCTTCTGCTCCGACGACATGGGAGACGACGACGTCTTTGAGGACAACACCTCCTCAAGACTGAAGAGCAGGGTCCTGCGGGCACCCCTCTGCTCAGTGGAGAAGGACAGTGACCTGGATTGTTCTTCCCCCCTCTCTGAAAAATGCCCCCCCATCTCTCCTGTGTCCACACCAGGGGATGCCTGCAGGTTGGTTTGCCAAGAACCACCATTCTGCCCATCTCTGCTCCCCACACCTGTGTAGCTCATCTTGCTTTTAATATGTGAAGTTTCAGGAAAATGAATTCGTAGGCAGTTGACAATTGTGGATTAATAGTTTTCTCCAGAAGAATGGAGTATTGATATCATTTGAAAAACCAATTTCTGTGACATGGGTCCCAGGATAGTTTCACAGATGATAAAAGAGGAAGAAGCTGCACATATTAAAGGTCAAGCTGACTCTTCTCAACTAAAGATAAGTAGACTTTGCATAAAGAAATTGGAAGAAAGTTTTCTGGCTTGATTGTCTAGATTTTCAGAATTGGCTGCCCCTCCCAGCCTCATTTTACTCCTTCCTCCACCTGCAACATGATGTGTGCAGGGAGAGGCTGTCCTTCCTTCCTTCCTTCTTTTTAACTTGGATGCAGCCATCTCTGTCCAGGTCCTAATTCCACTTCCCTCCGTTGTCTCCTCCCTTGTGCACCCTGCACTGGGAGGGGAGAATGGTCCCCAGATCTTTCAGAATCCACTTCTCATGACCACTCACATGCCGTCCCCATTCTAATCTTGCCCCAGCCGCCCCTCCTTAGGGCCAGCCGTTCCCGTTCCCATCAGTTGGACAGAAAGCCCTGCACAGAAACAGACAGCTGAGAGCCTGGCCGGGGCCAGAGCCCCGCTCCTTTCAGGCCAGGTGTCTGCCCTCCCGCTGCTGGAAAGGCCCCTCTGTGTCTCAGGAGTCTGTTTAGTTTCTCGAGGTCAGTAGCTCTGTCCTGTTGCATGCACCCTGACCTTCCGACGAAGCGGACGGTTCAGATGCTCGCTCCTCGCTGGGGGTGGTCCTGGCAAGAGAAGCGCAGCCGCAGCCTCCTGATGCTGCAGGTCGGGGCCCAGGCTGCTCGGCTCACTGCAGGCGGAGCTGTGGGGGAGGGGAGCTCAGTGTGAGAGCTGGAAAGCAAATTCCAACATCTTCTTAGATTGCTGGTATTTTTGGAAGGTAAAGTACTGGTTTTGTTTTTCACACAATTGTTTATTTTATTTTAACATCTTAAGTTCTGGAAGATGCTTCCATGTTGCCTTAAATTTGTCTTTCAGTGAAATTCTTAAGTCTTACCCAAAGTGACTGCTCTGTCATTTCTTACATCATTTTTTCCTCTCTGGTGCCAAATGCCATCCAGACTTTCCTTGTCAGTGCGGTAAGCTAGACATGTTAGTTTGTAGCAGTTGTCCTCATTTATGTCTGTATGTTTTTGTGCTTGTAGTTAATTCTGTGCTGTTTGTTTCTGAAAGTTTTCTTTGGGGGTATTGGCCTTGCACTGAAACGTGTCTTCCTTGTTGTTAGCCCTCCTCCTAACTACTGGCTTTCCTGCTGCCCTAGGATCTGTCACTGTGAAGGGGACGAGGAGAGCCCTCTGATCACGCCCTGCCACTGCACCGGGAGCCTGCACTTCGTGCACCAGGCCTGCCTGCAGCAGTGGATCAAGAGCTCGGACACGCGCTGCTGCGAGCTCTGCAAGTACGAGTTCATCATGGAGACCAAGCTGAAGCCCTTGAGAAAAGTACGTGTAAGGCCCCGGGGGCGCGCACCTCGCACAGAGGCGCGCACAGAAGAGCTAGCACCTTGGCCTGGATGCAGCCTTAGCTTGCGGTGTTCGTTTCTTTAAGTGGAGGCTGGTGCGTACACGCATGTGGAGACCGTGGTTTCTGGTACTGATTTCCAAGTCCCTCCACTCAGTCATGATGGTGTCTTTTCCCTCCACACTGAGACGGCTAGCTTGTCTGTTGTCAGTCGTTTGGTCCTTGACCTGCTTTGTGAATTTAGTCAGCTCTTAACTTCCTATATATTAACTTTTTAGGCCTTGCCTTTAGCTAGAAGTTATATTAGAGCTTAGCATCTCTCCCAGCACGAAGCACAGCCAACACAGTAAGCGTGTGTGTCTGTTCTGTGACGAGTGTTTCTTAGGTGGGGGTGTGGGGGTGGGGTGGGGAAGAAAGGAACCAAAGGTGGTAGGAGACATGGCTTGGGTCAGGCCATGTCCTTGCTCCTCTGAGAGGAGCCTTGTCCCTCACACACATCCTGAAACGTGGTCTGTTCAGTGCCTCTCCGTGTGTCCAGAACATAAGGTTTGTCTGGAACAACACAAGACTTGTTCTTATCTCAAAATTTTAATATGTAAGCTGAGAAGGGGACTCACTTCTCAGTCTACAGCAGATACAGCCTGTGACCTTGGCACTTAAACGCTCCCTCATAGCAGCAGGGCACAGCCAGGCAGAGGAGGAGGCCTCCTTGTGAGCTGGGCTCGGGGGCGGTGGTCGCGTCGCAGCAGCCTGGGTGTGCAGCAGCTCTGGGAGGAGCAGTAGGACTTGGAGGTGAAGTGAAAGGAGCTACAGAAGTCTGATTGTCTATGGAGAAAGCCGCACCCCAAAGGGGGTGAGCATGGCCGTGGAGTGGGGGAGAAAGGCGCACACCGAGGGGGTGAGCATGGCCGTGGAGTGGGGGAGAAAGGTGCACCCCAAAGGGGGTGAGCATGGCCGTGGAGTGGGGGAGAAAGGCGCACACCGAGGGGCTGAGCATGGCTGTGGAGTGGGGGAGAAAGGCGCACACCGAGGGGGTGAGCATGGCCGTGGAGTGGGGGAGAAGGCGCACACCGAGGGGGTGAGCGTGGCCGTGGAGTGGGGGAGAAAGGCGCACACCGAGGGGGTGAGCATGGCCGTGGAGTGGGGGAGAAGGCGCACACCGAGGGGGTGAGCATGGCGGTGGAGTGGGGGAGAAAGGCGCACACCGAGGGGGTGAGCGTTAAGTGGAGTGGGGGAGAAGGCGCACACCGAGGGGGTGAGCGTGGCCGTGGAGTGGGGGAGAAAGGCGCACACCGAGGGGGTGAGCGTGGCCGTGGAGTGGGGGAGAAAGGCGCACACCGAAGGGGTGAGCGTTAAGTGGAGTGGGGGAGAAAGGCGCACATCGAGGGGGTGAGCATGGCCGTGGAGTGGGGGAGAAAGGCGCACACCGAGGGGGTGAGCATGGCGGTGGAGTGGGGGAGAAAGGCGCACACCGAGGGGGTGAGCATGGCCGTGGATTGGGGGAAAAGCGCACACCGAGGGGGTGAGCGTGGCGTGGAGTGGGGGAGTAAAGCGCGCCACCGAGGGGTGAGCATGGCCGTGGAGTGGGGGTGAAAAGCGCACACCGAGGGGTGAGCGTTGAGTGGAGTGGGGAGAAAGGCGCACACCGAGGGGGTGAGCGGGCCGTGGAGTGGGGGAGAAAGGCGCACACCGAGGGGGTGAGCGTGGCCGTGGAGTGGGGGAGAAAGGCACACAACCGAGGGGGTGAGCATGGCCGTGGAGTGGGGGAGAAAGGCGCACACCGAGGGGGTGAGCGTGGCCGTGGAGTGGGGGAGAAAGGCGCACACCGAGGGGGTGAGCGTGGCCGTGGAGTGGGGGAGAAAGGCGCACACCGAGGGGGTGAGCGTGGCCGTGGAGTGGGGGAGAAAGGCACACACTGAAGGGGGTGAGCATGGCCGTGGAGTGGGGGAGAAAGGTGCACACCGAGGGGGTGAGCATGGCCGTGGCGGGGGGGTGAAAAGCGCACACCGAGGGGGTGAGCGTTGAGTGGAGTGGGGGAGAAAGGCGCACACCGAGGGGGTGGGCATGGCCATGGAGTGGGGGTAAAAAGCGCACACCGAGGGGGTGAGCGTTGAGTGGAGTGGGGGAGAAAGGCGCACACCGAGGGGATGAGCATGGCCGTGGAGTGGGGGTGAAAAGCGCACACCGAGGGGGTGAGCGTTGAGTGGAGTGGGGGAGAAAGGCGCACACCGAGGGGGTGGGCATGGCCGTGGAGTGGGGGAGAAAGGTGCACACCGAGGGGGTGAGCATGGCCGTGGAGTGGGGGAGAAAGGCGCACACCGAGGGGGTGAGCATGGCCGTGGAGTGGGGGAGAAAGGCGCACACCGAGGGGGTGAGCATGGCCGTGGAGTGGGGGAGAAAGGCGCACACCGAGGGGGTGAGCATGGCCGTGGAGTGGGGGAGAAAGGCGCACACCGAGGGGGTGAGCATGGCCGTGGAGTGGGGGAGAAAGGCGCACACCGAGGGGGTGAGCATGGCCGTGGAGTGGGGGAGAAAGGTGCACACCGAGGGGGTGAGCATGGCCGTGGAGTGGGGGAGAAAGGCGCACACCGAGGGGGTGAGCGTGGCCGTGGAGTGGGGGAGAAAGGCGCACACCGAGGGGGTGAGCGTTGAGTGGAGTGGGGGAGAAAGGCACACACCGAGGGGGTGAGCATGGCCGTGGAGTGGGGGAGAAAGGTGCACACCGAGGGGGTGAGCATGGCCGGGGAGTGGGGGTGAAAGGCGCACACCGAGGGGGTGAGCGTTGAGTGGAGTGGGGGAGAAAGGCGCACACCGAGGGGGTGAGCATGGCCGTGGAGTGGGGGAGAAAGGTGCACACCGAGGGGGTGAGCATGGCCGTGGAGTGGGGGAGAAAAGCGCACACCGAGGGGGTGAGCATGGCCGTGGAGTGGGGGAGAAAGGTGCACACCGAGGGGGTGAGCATGGCCGTGGAGTGGGGGTGAAAGGCGCACACCGAGGGGGTGAGCGTTGAGTGGAGTGGGGGAGAAAGGCGCACACCGAGGGGGTGGGCATGGCCGTGGAGTGGGGGAGAAAGGCGCACACCGAGGGGGTGGGCATGGCCGTGGAGTGGGGGAGAAAGGCGCACACCGAGGGGGTGAGCATGGCCGTGGAGTGGGGGAGAAAGGCGCACACCGAGGGGGTGAGCATGGCCGTGGAGTGGGGGTGAAAGGCGCACACCGAGGGGGTGAGCGTTGAGTGGAGTGGGGGAGAAAGGCGCACCACCGAGGGGTGAGCATGGCCGGGAGTGGGGGGAGAAAGGCGCACACCGAGGGGGTGAGCATGGCCGTGGAGTGGGGGTGAAAAGGCGCACACCGCGGGGGTGAGCGTTGAGTGGAGTGGGGGAGAAAGGCGCACACCGAGGGGGTGGGCATGGCCGTGGAGTGGGGGAGGAAAGGCGCACCACCGAGGGGGTGAGCATGGCCGTGGAGTGGGGGAGAAAGGCGCACACCGAGGGGGTGATCGTTGAGTGGAGTGAGAGGCTTGAACTGAGTGTGTCTTTGGAAATAATAGGACATCAGAGAGCAGGAGAGCATTTTGGGCAAGAAGCCACATGAAGATGTCTTAGACCTTAGCAGGAGAATATCTGGACTTCATAGAAGTCAGGCACAAAGTGCTTTTAAAAAGTAGTCTACGCACTTACAGTTCACTGGTACCTGCTCTGTGCTGGTGCTGAGGAGAGTCCCGTGAGTCTGACCAGTGTCAGTAATCCACGAGGCTCTACTTTCGGCTTCTCCTGCATGGAGCCATCTGCAAAGGCTGTGACCTGGGCTGCAGATGGCACACAGCATTTACACTTTGTTCTGTATCCCTGCCTCTGTGTGTTCTCTTCTCATTTGGAAACCGATAAATGAAAACGAAAATCTGGCTGTTTGGAGTAAATTAATGAGCTCCTGGAGGACATGGGACTGGCAGGGATTGCTGGTACCAGGAACTCTTAGCATTGGTTTCAAGCTATTGCTGCCCAAGTAGCAGGGAGCAGAGAGTGAGCGCCTTCAGCGTTGCCCTCATGCTGCAGGATGGCCCCCTGCTAGTGCAGTGGTGTCCTCGCCCCCTTCTTCCCTTGCCCACGCCAGTCAGCAAGTCAGGGAGGCTTACAATGTGCCGCCTGGGTCTTGGGCCAATGTGTAGTTTTCATCAGGACTGACCCCATAGGCTTCCTCTTCGAGCTGCTGCTGCCTGCCCGCCGTGCTCCCTGCCCGCGGTGCTCCCTGCCCGCGGTGCTGCCTGCCCGCGGTGCTCCCTGCCCGCGGTGCTCCCTGCCCGCGGTGCTGCCTGCCCGCGGTGCTGCCTGCCCGCCGTGCTCCCTGCCCGCGGTGCTGCCTGCCCGCGGTGCTGCCTGCCCGCGGTGCTCCCTGCCCGCGGTGCTGCCTGCCCGCGGTGCTGCCTGCCCGCGGTGCTGCCTGCCCGCGGTGCTCCCTGCCCGCGGTGCTGCCTGCCCGCGGTGCTCCCTGCCCGCGGTGCTGCCTGCCCGCGGTGCTCCCTGCCCGCCATGCTCCCTGCCCGCGGTGCTCCCTGCCCGCGGTGCTCCCTGCCCGCCGTGCTCCCTGCCCGCGGTGCTGCCTGCCCGCGGTGCTCCCTGCCCACGGTGCTCCCTGCCCGCGGTGCTGCCTGCTTGCAGGAGTACGCAGACAAGGGACTCGCCGTGGTCCGTAGCTCCTCTCGTTCCCAGCTTCTGGCCATTGCACAGAAAGCTGACTGTTGATGGAATACCCGTACCTGGTACCTGATCGAAGCCCAGTGGCCTTAGGGAGGGATGGGCACTGCAAGTTCAGTTGTTTGGGAAGGGGCGGGGCAGAGACCTTGCTCTCACTGCCGCAGCCTCCACCCTGAGCCTTTCTCCTGCTCTGCCTGCTGTCTTCACAGTGGGAGAAGTTGCAGATGACAGCCAGCGAGCGCAGGAAGATCGTGTGCTCTGTGACGTTCCACGTCATCGCCATCACCTGTGTGGTCTGGTCCTTGTACGTGCTCATCGACCGCACCGCCGAGGAAATCAAGCAGGGGCAGGCAACAGGTATGTCAGAGCTAAGGGGCGCGCAGCGCAGGCCCTGGATGACGCCCTGGGTCTCAGGATTGTGTTATTCCAGGTCGATTTTCAGTCAGACGTCAAATGTCTGGGTTTCTGGAAGGGCCCACCCACTGTGAGGCAACCATCCATCCTATTTGGATGTTTCTCTTGCTGTGAGTAGTTTCAAAACCCAGTCAGAAGAGACCAAATCATGGAAAGAGGAAATCGCCATGAACCCCTCCTGGAAGAGCAGGATGGGGGGGGGCGCCGTCTGCCGCCCCTCAGCGGAGCAGGATTCGGTGCCTGCGTGGGCTGTGTGGAGTTCACGAGCGGTGTGTTCTTTACTCCGCCCTTGAGTGATGTCAGCTGATAGGCTAACCTGGTTTTTCCCTTCTAGGAATCTTAGAGTGGCCCTTTTGGACCAAGCTGGTGGTGGTGGCCATTGGCTTCACTGGCGGACTTCTCTTCATGTACGTTCAGTGCAAAGTGTACGTGCAGCTGTGGAAGAGACTCAAGGCTTATAACAGAGTGATCTATGTTCAGAACTGTCCAGAAACAAGCAAAAAGAGTATTTTTGAAAAACCTGCACTCGCAGAGCCCAACTTTGACAGTAAAGACGGACGGGGAGCCCACCATTTCGACACGAACTCTTGCTGCACAGAACCTGAAGACACTGGAGCAGAGCTCGCCCCCGTCTGACCGAGTCGGGTGCTTTTCCTGGCATCCGTGGGCAGCTGCAGGAAACTGCTTGCTGCCAACTGTGTACCTTCCCACGTGCTTCATGAGCACAGACCGGACAGGTGACTATTTTTCATCGTTTCTCTTTTCTAACCTCCTCCGTGAACGTCCTGGGAAGCTCTCACTTCGGCTCCACGTGTCTGGTTCCCCTCCTGCCGGCACAGCTGTGCCCGTGACGCCGTGGTGGGGGTGGGCCATGGTCTTGACTGAGCAGAGTGCGAGAATAAAATGTCAAACCCGAGGGAAGGGCAGGAGCAGGGTGGCACCAGGCCTGATGCACGACTCGTCAGTGGGCAGCAGCCTCGCCCTGGGGCGGCGTTGGGACCGCCTGGCCGCGCAAGAGGGTTTCCTTCCTCGCGGGGAGAGCCGGGCGGTGTGCTCCCTCTGCCGTCGCCGCCGCTGCTGCTGCGTCTCCGAGCAGGTGGGCCGAGGGGCTCTGCCCGGTGCCCGGTGGCCGGTGAGCCACTGAGCAAACAGCACTTTACAGAAGGAGAATCTTTGTTTTATTATGTGTGTCCAGTAAGATTGGCGTTTAAAAGAATGTCTCACTTAGAAACCTTTTCTCCATGACCTTGGTGGTCTCTTGTGTGTTATAATGGATCTAAAACACTTTTTGCCTTATGTGTTTGAAGAAACAAGACATCTGTTCTGCGTCCATTAAAGCACGACAAATAGGTCTGACGCTTTCTCATCACATGTCAGGGAATTAATGGAGTCTGAGCTTATTTCCTATGGTTTCCAACATGTTTTATGACAAATCTTTATAGGCCTACCCCAAACATTTCTTTCTTGGTCAACACTGCAAAGAAAGGGCTTATTCTAAACAAAAGGAAAAGAAGTGAGTAGTTAAAACAAAAGAATAATTAAAAACCATTCCTTTACCCACACACCTGTCAAGTTCATGCTGGCTTCACACTGAAAAGTCAGCATGCACATCCCTGGTCTGGGCATGTGCACGGCAGGTACTCCTGGGCTTCTGCCACACCAGCCAGCTTTGCTCCTGGGCGCTGGGCTGATCACTGCCCAGGGCAGACAGGCAGGCAGGCTGGCTCTGGGACCAGGGCCGGGAGCGAGCCGCAGACTGCCATGCCCGCTGTCGTCTGTTCCCTCAGCCACCCTCCCAACCTGTGGTCGCCTTAACTGGACTGAGCAGAGATGATTTTTTAGGGGCCCTGGCCTCGCGATCCGTCTGTTCTGTCATCAGGGATTAGCTCCCATACCGTTTTTCATAAAACAAACAAAACCAAAATTACTACCAAATGGCTTTTGTTCCTTAAAAAGTCTATTTAAAATTCTGCCTTTAAAAACGAGTGTCATTGCACCAGGGCAATGAGTGAACTCCTGGGAAGGCCAGGAGGCTCTGCAGTCACGCAGGCATGCGCAGGTGTTCACTGCGTGTGCACAGCCTCCTCGGGGTGAGGTGCCTGGGTCCTCCCCTCTGTCCTCTGAGCCTTCGATACCGCCTGTCTTGTTGAGAGGATCACAAGATGGTCCTTCACTTCCCAGAGAGGAAGCCCTGGGGCCTGCTCGGAAAACCAGGAGGAAGCTGCAGGGTGTCAGCTCGGGGAGGGCGTGTGGCACCAGCCTGCTCTGCCACCTGCTCCCAGAACTGCCCTTCAGGGCCACGGCTTCTGATCTCAGGAGCTGCTCGGCCATGGCCTTCCTCTGCCTGTGGCCTCAGCCCTTGAAAACGGATCAGCAGCCCTCTCACTGCCTCCCAGGACACGTCCAGCCCCTGCCTGTGTTCACTGTGCCCCAAAGTGCAATTACCGACACCCCTTCGCAGCCTGGAGACCCAGCAGACTGTTCACTCAGAGCTGCTGAATGCTGGCCAACCCCGACTCTGCCCCTGAGGAGCGACCTAGCAGGGCCCTTGTCTCTGCTGCCCTCTAACAGCGGCTGAGTGGTCAGGTGAAGACGGGGTAGGTTGTAAGTGGGAATCCTTCTCTCTCCCCTGATGGAGCCCCTTATGCTGAACTTGCAAAGTACTGAGACTTCCCACAGAGGTAAGCGCTTCAGCAGCAGTAGCTCCCAGCAGCCCCCCCGCTGTGCCCCCCCCCCCCTGCAGGGTAGGAGAGGCGCCTTCGCAGCCACCACTGTCCTGCTCTCAGGTCCAGCCAGAGCTTTACGGGACACCTCGCTTCTTCCCGGAAGGCCCCGCCGTCTCGCACACCCCACCAGGCCCTACCCTCCTGAGGAGGCCTGCCCCCCATCCTTCCATCCTCTCCTGGAAGTCCCCCGCTGTCTCGCACACCCCACCAGGCCCTACCCTCCTGTGGAGGTCTGCCCCCCATCCTTCCGTCCTCTCCCGGAAGGACACAGGCCATCTCGCACACCCCATCAGGCCCTACCCTCCTGAGGAGGCCTGCCCCCCATCCTTCCGTTCTCTCCCGGAAGGACACAGGCCATCTCGCACACCCCACCAGACCCTACCCTCCTGTGGAGGTCTGCCCCCCATCCTTCCGTCCTCTCCCGGAAGGACACAGGCCTCGCCTTTCTCTTCTCTGCAGGCTCTAGTTGTGCACCTTTGACCCAGTTCTTAGTTGCAGCTGATCCCCCGGGACAAGCAGGGAGCTGGAGGCCCTGCAGCTTGTGCTGTGCTGCATCTAGTGGGGACAGCGCGTCTGCCTGGTGTTCCCTTGTCTGTCAGCTGCCCTCTAAGGGCTTGGGGTGGGGGAGTTAACCCCCAGTTCCCCCTTATTTTGCACCTGGCTTTAGTGGGAGGATGGCATTTGGCTGAGCCATATAGAAATGGGATGAGCTTGCAGATTCCAGGGCAGGGAGGGCTGGCACTTGTGGGCCAGGCGAGAGGGTGATGGCAGTGGCCCTCGGGTGTCCCTACCAGCCCTCTCTGATTTGGCCTCTCTTCCCCCAAAAGTTACAGTATGACCCAAGAGCTTCTGACTTCTTCCACTGCCAGCAGTAATTTGTTTTTTGTGCCCAAATTTGAGAATTTCCTGAAAACTCTAAAAGGTCTCTTTCTACTCCAGGCCTCGAACATGCCCACCCTACCCCCATTTTGTTTTTGTTTTTTTTGCTTCAGTCCGCTTCTTTCAATCTTATGGGTCTGGTTTTCAAATCTCAGGTGTGCCCTACCTGGCTTCAGATATGCAGGCCCCAGGCAGTTGGAGCAGTTCAAGAGCCTCAGGTAATGGCTGAGCTGACCGGGTTGCAGCCACTTGTGTGGCCTGGTGGTCAGCTGCCGGGCGGGGGCTGGGAGCGGAGGGAAGTCACCCACGAGGCTGCGGAGCTGGCCTGGTGCCGTGCTCCTCTGAGATCCGTGCCGTCCGGGTCTGACTGGAGACGTGCCGGGAAGACCTCACCACCACCATTTAGATGCAGCGTTTCTAGGAAGTTGATTGTTAATAAAAACCAAATTTACACTGGCGTGTGGCACCTAGGAAGTTTCTAGTTCTCTAAATACCTAGTTTTGTATCCTTTTGTGTTCACTTTTTCTCAGTATTACCACTTGAATAATTCTCTGTATGGGGGCTCGTCTGTGCTACACACGGGGTGTCTAAATGCAGCAATAAAGCATTTCTTTAAAAAGAAGTTTTCCATGAAGGTGTTTTTTCTGCAAGAGGCTGGGAACCTTTCTGGGTCCCTCTGGCTGGCACCCTCTGGAGGTATCCACCTCTTCACCGTCCCTTCAAGGGAGACACCTCGCCCAGGTGCTGGTGCTCGGAGGGAGGGTGGGAGTGAACTGAAGGAGTCCACACAGGTGTGCTCGTTCGTTTGAAACATCCAGGCCGGACCTGAACTCACCGCTCCGAGAGAAGCAGACTCAAGATCGGGGGTGTACGGCAGCAGGGCCCTTGGAGTAGTCAGCTGCTTAAGGAGCCTTGTGGTTGAAATATTTCCTCAACCACAGCCCAGCCGAGAGAACCAGGGGTGGGGCAGCAGGACTGCCGGCGATAGCTTAGCCTGGCTGCATCCCTGAGTACGGCAGTGCCGTTGACCCAACAGTCTGGAGACCGCAAGCGTGTGCGGAGGTGAACGGGAGGCCGAGGTGGTCCTGGACAGCCTGTGCCTAGGGGAACGGGAGACTCCCTCCACAAGTTGGGGGTGCCACGGCAGGCTTCCAGGAGACTCGGGAGCTAAGTAGGAGGACACCTTGCCAAGTGTCTTCCTTGCCTTCAGCGGAGAAGAGGACCCCAGACCTGGGAGGAGTGTGGGCCCACTGCAGAGCCACTGAGCTTGTGCTCAGCTGTGGTTGGAGAGGTGGTGAGGATGGAGCTGCAAGACCATCAGCTTGTACGATGTGAGCTGGGGGACTGCCCGAGGAGCCTCTGTATTTGGGGACAGGGTGGATTCAGTGAGTGTGGCTGAGGAAATACCAGCTGGGGTCTTACTGCAAGCAGGCTTCAGACCTCCAGGCCTTCGGCCCCTGGACACTAGTGGCAGAGCAGTGGGGTGTAGGGCTGCTTCCTGACCACCTCTAGGGGCACTTTCAATCCTCAGTGTGTCATGGGGTGGCGGACTGCTGCTCCCAGGCCGACCTCCTGCTTTGTAAGTGAACTTGGAGGCACACAGCCATGCCCGTTCATTTACGTAGTGTATTCAGTGATTTCCTGCTAAAATGGCCAAGTTAAATAGTTGGGACAGATGTTCTGGCCTGCAGAGCCTGAAGTGTTTATTTACATGGTCCTTTATAGAAAACTTTTGTCAGCCCTTGGTCCCTGGGAATGTGCCCCTAGAGTTGCTGGTCACTGCCTGTGCATAGGTGTCATTTCCCAGCCTTAGGCATTACTGGGGCTGGAGCCCTGCTGCATCTCCACACGGCTGGTCCTGGAAAGAGCTGAGAGGTGCAGTTCCAGGGGATAAAGGAGAGAGGAAGACCATGCCTCCCTGAGCCGACAGTTCCTCCAGGGTGCGGAGCCCAGCACGCAGCCGGCATGTCCCTTGCTCGCCCAGCTGCCTCTTGGAGCTGAGATGCCGGACGCAGAGGCCAGACTGCACTGGCCTGACCTCGGGCCCCCCTGCACAGGAGGTGGGGGTGGACATCCAGCAGTTCCGGGAGCCGGCGTGGGCTCCACTTTGCCCCGAACCATCTTCCCTCTCCCAGGGGGGAGTGCCAGGCGTCCCGAGACGAGCGGGTCTGGCTGTGGTCGCAGCGCTGACGTACTGTAGTCCGCGGGGCTTCCGGGGAGACGGGAGAGCTTCATGGGTCGGCGTGTGAGAAAGAGTGGAGTCCATTCCCTTATTATCCTTTTCTGATGTGAAACTGTCCTGTTACCAAGTGATGACCATAGTCAACGGAAGCTCTTGGTGGGGATGCTTTTAGTTGATTGGTTGATTGGTATTGGTTCATACCAACAAAACCTTGGTCACCAAAATGTCTCTCCAGACTTCCTTCCAAAACTTTTCTGGTCCATGAAACCCAGTCATCTGGGAGCCCCGGCCCAGGGCTCTCTCTTCGGCCAGGTGTGTGGGCCCTTGAGGACCAAGTGCTGGGTCGCGCCCCTCTGGGAATGCCCGTGGCCTTGATCTGAGTTTCAGAGTGGTCCCCTGCTTCCCCTCCACATTTCTCCGACCCTAGGAACAGCTGCTCTGGTCCCACCCCGCGTGTCGCCGGGAAACGGGCCCAGAGAGGGCCTTGCTCCGATTCACCGAGTGATCCTCTGACTCGGGGCCCTCCCGCCCCACCCCACCCTTGAGGGGCATCTGGGAGGAAGTGCAGAGGCCCCAACCCAAGGCACAGGCTTGGGGTCTCAGCCCTCCCACCGCTTAAGCTGCAGGACGGGAGGGCGGGTCGGGAGGCCTGGAGGTCGGGGGCAGTGCTGCCGGGGCAGGGGTGGAGGACACGCTGTCTTCTACCCTCCGGGCTCTGGCTGTTCTGATAACCCGTAGACCTGAGGTAGATTAACAGAGAAAAGAACCAACCTCCATACATCTGCATGTATGGGAACCCGGCCTGCATGAGAGAGACCCCACATGCGGGAGAGGTCCGGAGGTGGGAAATGACTGTCTGAGCCTGGATGCGGGAGGGGCCTTGGGGCCTCAGAGGGTCATTGCAGATGCTTAGTAAATAGAAGTTGTGCTGCTCTCCAGAGAAGTCAAAAAAGTTGTCTCTTATTTAAGTTTTTCTAGGTAGTTAGGGGAAGGACAAGTTTCTCTTGAGCCTGAAGTTAAAGTGGCCTTTAGCACAAAATAAACCACATACCACTGAGGCAGATCTTGGGATGGCTGGTTCTGGACCGCCACACCTGTTTGTTTTGTCAAAGCCTAGTAGCAAGCACTTGGGGTAAATTTGCAAAACGTTGGGAATGGAAGGGACTCTGGCACAGGGTCACCGAGACGCATCCGGGAGGAGCGCCGGCCTGGCCGGCCCAGCTGCCCCAGGCTGGTGGCCTTTGCCCGTTCCTCTCCGGGATTTTTGCGGAGCCGCAGTTTTGTCATCTGTGGACCTGGGCTGACCATCCCTGCCGTGCCCCTCGGAGCTTTAGAGATAAAGGCAGTGCTGGTAAGACTTCGCGGTTCCCTTTCTGAAGGACCTACTCTGCTCCTTCCAGGAGGCTGGACGGGCAGCCAGATGCACCCAGAAGCTGGGGCCCAGCACAGCTCTGCCCCAGGACGTGCCCACTGCCCCCCACCACTCAGTGCCAGAAACAGCCCTGGGAGCAGACTGGAGATTGATGCAACTTCTGAGTCCTCCGCATGTGCCGTCCCTCCTCAGGAAGACCCGGAACCGCCGTCTTGCCCTGCCCCTGGGGTCAGCGGGCCAGCCAGGGCACTTTCGGAAGCGAAGTGCCCATTACCCAGGAGGGTGCTCTGCGGAAGCCCTCGCCGTACCTTCCCACGAACAACCAAGTTCCAAAGCTCCCCAGTCAAAACCTGCCTGCCAGCGCCGCCCCATCCCAGCTGGTCCCTCTGCCCCCAACACCCCCCTGAGCTCTGCCTGCAGCAGGCTGGTGGGCCTCAGCTCTGGGCTGCTCGGCCGGCTGCCTGACAGGTCCTCTTCTCGAGAAAACCTGGTCCCTCACGCTCGGCCTTTCTGTGGGCCACCAGCGGTGAGCTCCTGGACCC